CCAACGGCCAACCACCGCGGACGTCCTCGCAATAACACCGTCCGACGACTTACGAGGGTAGCGTGCGGTTGCTGCGGGAGACGACGACCCTGAACAAGATGATCACCGTCAACGATGCGACGGCGACGCCTTCTCGGCTGGACCGCGCCGTCTGGCTGATCGATGTCGAGTGACACGGCGAACGCACGCACGTTGGCACGATATCGACGCGAATCGACACGGACTGACGGACGTCCTCCGATCGTCCTGCGACATCCCCTGATCGATCCCACGATACCACGGACACGGACACGGTTGTCCCCTCGGCGCGACGCGGCGCAGCGGTAATTCGAGAGCGTTGGAATTTAAAAATGCTTTTCTAATATGCGGACTCTGGACGATGTGGATAAATGTGAGTATGCGCGAGAAATGTAGAGTTTTGATTCGCTTTTATATCTCAATTATATAAGAAAAATTATCTCGTACAATTTAAATTGTACTCTACATTCTACTTTATTTTTAAATGAGTGAGTTCACACGTTCTAGCAGTCATCATTTTACTCAAAACATTTGTATAAATGTATAAGAATTTTCTCTCGTGATTGTGTATTCATAATTACTAGGGAAGCTAATCTAAAATACTCGTAGATAAAAGAATATATAAAAATATTTTACTTATGCAAATTTTAATAATATGTAATAGCAATAAATAAAAAATTATTGTTAGAATATTATTTCCGTTAGAATATAAACTCAATAAGTTGAAACTCTACGTTTTCTGAGCATAGTAGACTAATTCATGTCTATTCACATCTTTGTTATTATCTAGAAAAGTATTATCTCTTGCAAATAATTTCGTAAAATTATTTTTGATGCTCGATAAAAAGGCTTTATATAAGTCAATTTGTTCATCTCGAAATAAATTATCAAAAAAAGATGCGTTAAATTGATACAATGTTGTGTGATCACATTGTAATAATAAAAATGATATTATATTTAGTATTGGAGAATGGATATCCCATTTTTTTAGTCATTTTATCTTTTCGAGAAAAAGCAAGACATTTTGACTTATATCTTTTTCTATCGGGCCAATTAGAAATATTTGTGCTAGTCCGCGCAATTATGCAGAGAACTAAACTGTGATTATAATGATTTTGTGTCGCTTCTGTGAGCTACGGGTGACGAAAGCTGGTTACGAACTCATACGGTTTCCCTTCCGGTTTGTCGAGATACAATATAATAATAGCGCATCGTTCCTCGTTCCAACTCAGTTTGTCAATGTATTAAAACAGGATGCAAAATTTCATGGTACCGCAATTGACGGACGGAAATTAGATTCTGTTTACGTTCGAGAATCCTCGATATATATTACCCGGGATCTTTGTAAATAGTATAATATATATATTGATAGCGATTCTTCGATTTTGCGCGGATATACGAGAAGGAAAATTTTTAAACCGTCCTTGATTGTGCGACGCCCGATATTTTAATTATGGTCGATTACCGTATCCTTTTCTCTGATCGTTTCTCCTGTAAATAGTCTTTACGCAAAGTGTAAATTTGTATTTGGAATTATGTGCGCCGAGGGGAACGCACTGTGAGCCAGTGATCGGAAAAACTTCGTTTGTATAATTCAGGGATTAAAATCGATGCAATTTCGAGTTCAATTTTCGATAGACGAAAGATAGTGAACCTCACGGCAATGTCGCATTTCCATCTGCCATGTGAATATAAGCGCGGAGAAAAACCGATTTCCACATGTGTATCTACAGAAATTTAAACTTGCTGAAATTGCATCGTACAATACCTGATGTAATCGGGATTCGCTGTGGTTGTAAAATTGAACACACACACATGTACGACATATATACATAGACACGCAGCAAACAAACACAAACGTATACAACATAAGACACAGGCAGGGTTCCTACGATATATTCCACCTGTTGTGATAAGTATCTAAACGAATAATTTTATTAAACAGAACGGTAGAGCTATGAAAATATCGCCTCTCTCACATTATATACTACCTATCTATAGACGTCAATTAAGGAGAAGGTTCGCCTGGAATACCGTGTTTTATACGGATATTTGTGATCCGGAATCTCTTATTGTACAGCCGATCGTTTCGTAATGAATCGCTAAATAATGATCGTTGAACCATATAATACACGTCGTTCGAATTTCCTCTTAAGAACTTAAGAACTGTATCGAGCTGATCTACATTGATGATCATCATCGAGCTTGGTGTGAGGTAATCGGCAAACGTTCCTAGATTCAACGATATTCGGCGAGATCGACGAACGATCGAATAAAAATACGAATACGTTTAAATTGCGCTTTTTTTTTACTATGGCGCCCATAAAGAGATAGCAACGAAACAATGGAACGCGCATCGACAGTGTTCACATAAAAATATTAAAAATCCGAACTCCGCGCGGGGATTAAAATTAATTGTTGTGCGGTTTCATAAGAGGTCTCCCTATAAACAAATTGACACAGAAATAAAACATAGTATTCCGTTTTCAAAATAAAATCAACGAATGGACTCTTTGATGGAATTCGAACGGATCGAGAAGCGTGTCAGTTGATAAAATCTATTAATTCACATTTGTATCACCGTCTGTACTGTCTCATAGAAATGAAACGAGGGATAAAATTCACATGGAGCGAGAAAAATCACCAATTAAAGATGCTTATTTTGTTATATTTTACAAGTTTCTAAATTCCTTACGGATAAACGTCAAAAAGAATGATACAACGTTATGAATTCTCTAAAAATAGCAAATTAAAGATATCCATAACTTTTCTATGAAATTCTACGATTTATTAAAACGGAGATGCACGTTCGTGTATCTAAACATTTTTCACAGAAGAGCAACAATCATTAATTCACTGTCACAATCATTCATTCACTTGCAAAAAAGCTTTTTCTTTAAGCAAACTAACAAACTGTGAGTAATATCAACGAGACAGTACTTAGAAGAAAAGCTTAAATCAAGTCATGCATGAATCATTTCCTACGGATCCGATAAATTGCGCTTCGAAAGATCTTAACTTTAAAATCATCAGCTGGAAATGGAACGATAAAAAATAAAACGGTCAGCGAAACTTCGACACATCTCAGGGAAAAAAGTACTCATATTTCTAGTCAATATTTTTATTGACATTTATTGAACATTCGTTGCGATGCACTTCACTTAGGTAGGTAAGTATGATTATTCTTTGTTTCTTAAGCAAAAATTTATTTAAAAATTTACGTATCAAAATATTTAAAAAATAGTAAAAGAGTACTTATCAAACGTCTTATAGCGCGATCTGTCGCTGCGTAATGAAAAACGCGTAAAATTAATTGCTTACTTGTAACTTTTCACATCGCTCACGTACTCCTGAAGCAACTTGCGTACAAGTATTTACGCGCGTCGCTCCTCGTGTCCTTTGTTCTAAAACGGTAAAGCTAGCAGCGTAATCACGAGGGACAATGCACCTACACAGCCCACATTCTGCATTCGCTGCACATGCAGTCGGCACACACGACGTATCCTGAGTAACGTAAGTAAGTACATGGCACTTCAATCAATGCGTTCTCGCGTCATCGCACTTTCATCTCTCTTCTAATCCCCCCCTGATCTCTCCACTTCTATCTTTTTATCCATAAATTCTCTCTTTCTCATCCTCCTCTCTCTTTCTCTTCTTTCTCTTTTTTATTTTTATTTCTCGCTTAGTATCCACTCGATATATCCGTGCTCTACATTTTGTCGCCATTCTCGTCGCAATTCTCGTCTTGTCTCGTGACATCCGCAGCGCAATGTCTCTTCGTGGATCGGACGAAATCGTTGATATCGAGATGAAACTGTTTAGCGTCTCTATCCGTTTCTCCGCGGTTGTTTTCTAGAGAGATACATCTCTCTATGATCGAACTTGCGTTGTACAATCATCTATATCGGAGACGGATAGACGGGAAATAGTGACAGATATCTCTTGGATATTGAATGACTGAATATATTGCGGGACATTTCGGTATCCAATAGATATCCGAGATGTGATCACTGGATATCTGTGTTGCATCCGTAAGAATGAATTAGGTAGGTATGTGGAAAATAATAAATTCTGATATAATAAAATAAAGACTTATTAAACATTTATCTTTCAATTTCCTCTTTGTGATTAAGAATTTTATGTATTTAATTATAGTACTTTTTTAAATATACGTACGGAAAATTATCTTTACAAACTATTGCTTTTATAAATAATTTATATATATATAAAGAATTTTATAATAAAAAAATTTATAATAATACGTCGAGAAGATTTGTAAAAACGATATCAGTCATTCAAACAAATTTTTAAAGTTTATCATATCATCGGATAAGCCTGATCCATTTCCAAGATTGCATCGCACCTAATGGCTTCGTGAAGTCGACTATACACAAAAATATATTTCGATAGATATATCGCAGATATATTGGAGACCATCCGCAAACATTTTCGCAAGACTTTTGTTGTTCATAAACGGAGAGCGAAAAACTATCTGTGTATAACGCGTCGTGTTGTACAAAAAACAAAAAGAAAAAGCAACCGTCTCGTTACGGAAAAATATCAAAATTGCATACAGATAGAGAAGTATATGTATAAAATTCAAATATATCGGTTATTATCTAATGTTCCATACTGTTGAATACTAATTACGAGACTAACAGGAAAGCTTCTGTATATCTTCAACATTATCTTTCATTAATATCGATAAGCAGCGTGGTTAGTTTTCCCGAATAAATTAAACAAGTCTAAATTTTTAAATTATAATATGACATTTTATAATAATTAATAATAATTTCCACGTGAAAGTAACATTAGAAAATAAGGATACGAATCTAAAGGTAGTAATATATTATACTGGATCATTATTACTATCATTATTAATCCATTTATGGAAAACAGAAGAAACTTTTCGCTTCGTGAAAAACGAATATTTAACAATCGATATGTTACATATTAATCAAATTCGGGATGGAAGCAAGCAAAAAATTCAACATGCTAAAACCCGAAATGCTATTGGTTGGAAAAATACAATAATATATTATCGCTCGCTCATTAAAAACGATTTTATCGTATAATTTGCAGTACGTGAGGAATATGCTCCGATTTCGTAATTTCTTTAAAGCTTATTATCTAAAGCTGCATTTTGATGCGTGACGTGTGTGCACCGATTAGCTTGTCCCTCGTCATATTACTCCTCTTTTGAAAACAGATTTTCCGGTTTTTAAAAGCAGATATCGAAATCGTGTTTGTCGAGGATCGAAAGTTCACCGGCTCATTGTCGCCGACAATCCGGAGTCGAGTTGCAGTCCTCTCGCGTCACCACGCCTCCCCCCCTCCCCCTCCCTTCTCCCCTTTTTCCTACCGTATCGTGTCCCAGAGTAATTTAACACGTAAGGGGATGACAACGGACTCGAAACCCGCGTCCTTTTAAGGGCCCGTAAGTGACGATCGTGTTACAGCACTGAATTCACAAAATTTGTCAGGACCGATGAGTTTTTCTCGTATTTTTATAGCGATTATAACGATTAATAGTACTGTCGAAAGTGTTCGACAATTTTTTTCGAAGACGTTAACAAAATTACAAAACGATTATCGTCACAGATTAATTGAATAAAATATATTAAAGACCCATTATTTTTGCAATTAATATTAAAAAACAGATCGGAGGGGGGAGGTTTATACTTTTCAAGTATAAAAGTCGGATTAAAATCCAACAAAGAAGATAGGAATAAAACTTTACTCTTTTACAATCTGTTTCGAGAGAATTAATTTTCAGAAAACCTCGAGCAATCCTAAATATTATATTATAGACATACTTTTATTATTTTCTCTTAAATATTTTATGGTATTTTTAGTCGAATCATTAAATCGGTGATAAGTAATTACGTGTCTCTCTTTAAATCACCGATATTACAATCTTGCAGTACTGCGTCATCCCTGAGATGTCATCTATTCTGCGTGATCCCAATTACTTCAACGAGATATGAATTGATAAGGAATTAATTGTCGCATCTACCGCGAAAGGTCGTTTAATTTGCTCGCAATCGGCGATCGGCTAATCGAGTTAATTACCGACGAGCAAGAATAACACAACGATGACTTGCGACAGCTGTAGCGTCACGAAATAGCATAGATGATCGTCGCAGATGACGTCTTTTTCTCTTTCCGAGCAGGAAGGTAAGCGCACGGTCAATTTATCGTGGCCCATTATCGCCGCCATGATCGTTCCGTGACCGTTATTATCCGTCTGACCGTAAAGAGGACTCGTCAGATAATTACTCTAATGGAATAATTTTTTGGAAAAATCTATCGTCAATGCCACGAGTGCGCACGATACAGCAACAACAAAGGCCACACCCCGAAGAACCGTGGCGTCCGCGTTCCAAGGCTTGTTAACTGCACGTACACGATTTCCTAATAAAAGAGAACGATAAACGCGTATCGAACGCGATTATCATTCTACTAGAAATTGTTAGTTGAAATTATAGTTGAAAGAAAATTTTCATTTGAGATATTGCGCCACTTGATATCTAATTAATAATTTATCTGTCTACTTGCTTGATGCATCTTGCATATTTTTAAATAGCGAAATTCCTTTCAATTAGGAACTATCCGATATAAATAACTTCTTTTAAACTTGATTATTTTGTATAATTTTATGTCTTAAAAAAGTTACATAAATGAAAGAATGATGCTTATTAAAATTTCATTTCAATTAAATATTTTAATTAAATATCCAAATATATAAATAAGTATATAACAATAATGTTAAATGTATAAATGAAATTAATTGGAGAACACAATTTTTAAATTATAAATATTGTGATCCTTGTAAAATGTTTCGTTCGTCAATCAATCTTCTTTTATGATTGTAATCTTTAGCTAATTCTTTTGAGTTAAAGAGAAATGTGTTGCCACGATTTTAAGGTTTTTTTATAGATGATGAAATTCTTTTCTATATATGTCAAAAATTATTATTCTGACAAGATATTTGACAAAAATTCGTGCATTTTTTGAAATTTATTATTGAATTGTAATATTTCCACAGATTTTAGAATTTGTTGCAATAATTTTTAACTGACATTTTTACGTATACGTAATAAAAGAGGAGAACGAATGTCTGAATACATTTTGCATCCCAATGAGACTCTGAAGGTTAGATTAATATTTATGATGTTCCATAAAATGTATTCATGTTGAAAAGAAAACTTTTGTCCCATGTATCCCTAATCGCCC